GAGTATTTAATTCAGTTTGTACCTTCCTTTGCCACATTTTAAGATCTGTTGATGGACATTGCGCCTTATTGTCATATACTTTCTGAGGTACGTTTCGTATTTCCGTAAGATACTTCTCACGCAACAAATTGTTAGTCTCCTTTTCTACTTTCAATTCTGTCTTGGTGTCACCTAATTCCTTTTCCAAGCCATCTATTGTTCTTTGTTTGTGATGAAGATCTTTAAACATACCTATTTTAACTTCATTCATTTCTTCTATCTGCCGTTGTAGTTGTTTAAAATCTTTATGTGACTTTTCACGCTCGTCCTGGGCTATTTTTAAGTCTCGACTGGTTTTCCACAGCTCATCATTCATAGCCTCACATTTCTTGGTTAGGTTTTGTATGGCCACGACTTTCTCCCTGTTGGCTACGGTGTCCTGTTGTTGCAAATCTGCATTTAGCTTTTGAAGACTATGGATTTCTTTTTTTGCATCCAATAAATCATTCTCAAATGATTGGTTCGATAACTTACAGTTTTCCAAATCAACCTTGAGTTTCTGTATCATCTTTTCTTTAACACATATTTGCCCTTTGAGACTGATTCTCTTTTTTTTAAGTGCACGAACGGTTTTATTTAAAGTCAATTTTTTTGATGTGAGCGTTTTGTTATTTTCCTTGATGGTCTGAATTCTATCTTGTAGGGTCCTTTGATCAAGAGTCATTTTGTTCAGTATTTTATCACATATTTTAAGAGATTTATTCTCCTGTTTGAGTTCTTTAATAGATTCCTCCTGTTGCGAGATCTTCTTTTTCAAACCAGCTATCTCTGCATTTGCTTTTTGAATTTTAAAGTCATTATCTAAAGCTTTTTGTTTCATATCTTTTTCATACTTCTCATTCGATTGTAATTTTTCAGTAGCTTGTTTCTCTTTCAGTAACAGAATTACTCGTTCATAATCCGTGACTTTTCGAGATAATTCATTTCTTTCTCTCTCCAGTTCCTTGTTGCGTTTAAATAATTCCACGTAAGAGGCAGGCATAGTTGATTTCTGACAATCCGATTTGCTATGTTCAGAGACGCGACTCCTCCGCTGTCCAAAGGTGGTTTGATCTCATGACGGCTTTGGTGCTAAAGAACATGCAGCGTACAGACGTGCGCGCGCACGTACATACGTGCATGCGCGCACGTACAGGCGCACGTTCGGACGCACGCGCACACACAGACGCGCACGGGCGCACACACAGACGCCCACTAGTCATCATCATATATCTTGTACCACATAATTGTTAATCTGAAGCTACATCATAGAAACGCTTCCTCTTTACCTTCACTTGTCAGAGAAGAGTTTACTCAAAGCTTCATACTCCATCATGTGACTCACTACCTCCGCTCCGGTCGGGTTTTTTATTTTTTTAACTCCATCTCGTTCCCTCTCACCCTCTCTATCTCTCTCAGACAAGCACACCTTAATCAACATTGTTTTGTTTAACTTTGTGTGGGAAAATGCCAAGAACGTTAAGAAAAAAATCAGTTTAATCAAATTAAAATGAAAAAAATATATACATAAATTTGTGTCTGGTTCTAGCATTTCATATTTCCTAGTTCCTACTGCATGAGTTCCACTTGTTCTGTAACAGTTCCTTTACTGTTGTGATCAAAAATATTTAATCTCAATTCTGAGGCTGCTCTGTAAATAGTTTTCAAATGAACAATACACATATCAACTTCTGATCATTCCATATCAATTTCAGACTTAAAATAATATGATGATGTAAACCACGCCCATTCCGAGTACAGACACGGATACAGATAATTTAAATGGTTGAACAGATACAGATACAGACAGTGGTGTACTCGCTCATCACTACTTGTTAGTATCAACATAAGCTGTTCAGATGGAAGTCTGCTCAATTTTTACTGGCAAGCAAAATTATATTTCTGTACATTAATTTGCTGCTTGAATAGGGCAATGCTGTGTATTACTATAATGCTGCAGGGTCAAAAGTTAGTTGAAATATTGCTGCGTTTACATCAAGGCTGACTTGGACCCACCCAGTATAAAGCAGCCGTCCTCAATAAATGGCCCGCAGGCCGGACCATTCTTTGTGGACATTCTTCGTGGATGCTTTGGCTGACCTCATCAGGTCAACTGGTTTAATTTTAATGTGGTTAAAATTAAACCACAAACCATTGTAGTTTGATTATCTGGTCAATTCAGTTCTGTTCAACTACAACGAAGGAGCAAGATAAGGACGTAACTCGTTCTTTATTTGATCCTGCCGCCTGAAACTCTTGGAGAAACTGTCTGATGTGGACTTTGTGGTGGAGTCAGATTATTCTGGTTTTTTTTTTCAACTTTTTCTGAACTTTTCTCTGAATGTGAGAGGAGGTCAATGAGTCCTGCTACAGGATGGATTTCAAAAAGGGGGCATGTCTTGTTTCCAACTAATGCAGAGACTTTCTGGTGCTGGAAGTTTGATTTTTGGGCTCATGCATTATGCCATCACCAGAATTTACAACGTGCAATTTTCTTTTGATTGCCTCAGGCAGGCTCATGGATACGTCGCCACATTGGAGACAGGAACAAGCGCTATTCAGCCAAAGTTTCATAATCAGGGAACATTCTGTAAGTGACAAGTCTCTGAGAGACAGGGTTTGGAAAACACTAGCATCAGTGAGAGGGATCTTCCCATATGCACTCTGGGTCTGCTGCTGCCTTTAACGGACTCACTCCAAGCCCCCCTCCACATCTTCGGCTCGCTGTCCGCCTTACATGCATCCTAGCTAGCAAGCTGTGCTAAGCAGTGTCTAGTATAATGCTCAGATGTTGATGGGAATCTTCTCTTTATTGATTTAGCTACCTCCTCGATGTGCGTAACGATTAAATTATCAGCGTATCTACGTGCGTCAGGGTGTCTTTCAAAACAACCAACAGCCTTGAGGTTTCTCCGACCCAAAAAGTAAATGAATAAATAAATAATAAACGATCAAATTACGGGAAATATCCGGTCAATGCGAACTCTGCTATTTGCCTATTTTGCCTTCTTGTGAAGATTGTTGCAAAGGAAACAATTAAATTTGATTAACACCAGAGCCATGCACACTGAGCTGTTATTTCCGTCAATGTACATGAGTGAAAAATGAGTGTTCTTCTTTGGGTGTTTAGCATTTTTACAGTCATTGAACCACTTTCACTGCACTCACCACATACTCTCTTATCAGGTTCTCATGGTCTTCACTGAGGTACACACAAAGGCCTTTCACATCCAAGGTCAACGTCATCTTCCTATCGGATGTGGGACAGTTTTAATTTTAACTAGTACATTTTCTTAACGAGGATAGTTTGAATTGCATTTTCAAATCTCACATCTGTCATGTGGTCCATTATACTTTGCAGTCGTTTGCCATTCTGTCCACCTCTTTTTTTGTAGAGTGCAAGCAGTTTTGGAGAAAGAATGTGTCATGACTGAGGGAAGTTTCCTGACCCAAGACATGCAGAATTCACACTAGGAGACGTAGGTAGGAAAAAAATAAATGTTTTATTTTAAGGAGAACTAAAGGTGCACCGCCAGACGTGGCGGTGATGTTGAGCACAGCTCCGGGGCTGGGTCTGTTGAGACAAACACTGTCAGTGTTGGGCAGCGGGGAATAGAATTGCAGGACTCAGTTTGTAGTGGATCTTACTGTGGGGGCTGAAATCCAGAGCTTGGGAGGGTAGCCAGGACTGGGGTGAGCAACGTCAGCGTGAATCCAAAATCCAAGGGAGGTGAGCGGTGGGAGAGCGGGTCGGTCCGGGTGAGGAGGGAGATCAGGCTTGGAGATGAAAAACCAGGTTATTGCAGGAAAGGTTTGTGGTGAGAATTCCTGATGAAGGGAAGGCAGAGGTCATCAAAAACCAACAATGACGACGGACAAATATAAGGCTAGACTAAAGCTGTAGTTTTCTATAGTGGCAAGAGCTACCCAAGTTGAGTAATCTTCCGGCAAGGTGAAGTGATCTCCAGCTCCTTTTAACCACATGAAGTAGATGAGGGAAATCATCGCAGCTGGCCGCTCTCCGGAGCCGCCCACCTGCAATGACTTAAGGTGATTAGAGGAATGTGCAGACTCACCCCAGATCCTGACAGAATGTCGAGCTGCGAAAGGAACCGGGACTGAAGTGGCAGGGTAGTGATTCTCTTGAACTCAGCAATTATCTGGACAACCAAGACAAAATTTTCAGTCAACATTTATAAAACAACTTTAATTTACATAAACTATTTTATTTACCTCCAACATATTAAAGAGAGCCGGCCATCGTTCCTGAACATCTTGAACCATGGGTGTTTCGCGAACAACCTCCAATCTTCTATAAGAGAAGGTCTTGCCCATTTTCTGCCTCACTACTTCCTTATTGTTTCTCTTTTTTACATCTGATAGAAGCTGTACTCGAAGCTTTTCTAAGCTTTCCTCTGACTCTCCTATTGGATAAGGAGGGCAGTAGTTCACTTCAGATCGTCTTGGCTTTTTAGTGGCAAAGAGGGCCTTTTCCTTGTGGCTCAGTGCATTGACAGTTACTTCATGACAACCAAGTTTTCGTAACTGACTGCGATAGATTGCTAGCTTGTTTTTCAAACGATGTTTCCATCCACACTGTAAAACCTGATAAGTTAAGCTAACTCAAATGATTTGGGGAAACCAATTGCACAAATTGATTTAAGTTTTGTAACTCAAACTATTTGAGTTTATTTAATTATGCGAGTAGAGTCTAATTAATTCAATACAATTATGATACGTTAACTCAAATGGTTATGTTTATCAACTATTTTTATTTAGTATAGTCAACTTAAACCTTTAAATAAGTGGCACTAAAATGCCGTATATATTTTAACTTATTTAAAATAAATTCCTCTTTCATAATCCGACTGAGTTAAATTAACTTGAATGGTTCTTAGTTGAATAACTAAAGTTACTCAATTCAACTGGGGAAACCGATTGCACCAAACCGTATTAGTAGTATTAACACAACAACAAACTCGGACTTTCTCCATTCAGTTTTATTAACTTGAACTGCAGAAAAAACAGAATGATAACAACTGCACATTTTTTCAAATTTGCTAAATGCTTTTTTCCACTGTGCGTACATAAAATGTTCCGTGAGAATAATTCCAGTATTTTTAGTTGCCATTAACCATCATGACCTGAATTTTAATTAAGAATATCCAGATTTATTGACATGCACCTAACGAAAATGCAAACAAAGCTTAACTACAAGGATGTCATCAGCCATTATTAACACATACTGTAGGAATACAATATTAAATTTCAACGCTGTTATTGTACAACAGTTTGCTTAAAGATTAGTGTCCTCAACTGCTGTGGCCAAACCTCAATGGCAAAATGGAAAGATGTCATTTGACAATAAAACATAGTGATTACAAATGTCAATTTGGACTGATCATCAGTTATTTAACTTTGAAACTTGCTGACATGAACCTAAATACAAATATATCATAGAGGAACAATGACAAGTGTTTATGAATATTGTAGGAATGCAATAGATGAAGTCAATATAAACATATGTAAAAAAATCTTCAAAGATACTTGTGGCCTCCCAGTTTACCTTAAAAGTGTATCACAAAAATGTCAAGTATTTGAAATGTTTCTTTATTAGCTTTCAGCATATTGCTGTTTTAGAAGGCTGAGAACATGGACATATAAAACTATTGACTTGAAGCCATTCAAAGATTAATGAACAAGCAAGAACATGTGAAAAACAAAGCCCATCTACACCAGCTCATTTTTCAGTGTCTGTAATTTTGGTCTGAGTTGCTTTCTCTCATCGTCTAGCTTCAGCAACACTACTTGAATGAACTCAAAAAAGCTACTACACTTCACAGGATAGCTGAGATGCAGAGCATATATTAGCCCAAACAAACACACCAAAGCATCAGTCCATCTGTAATGAGTCATTACAACCTGATCTTCAAGAACAACGAACACTTGGCGTGGTGAGAAAGGAACTCCAGCAGGCACATCCTCTTCACCCACATCAGCAACCAGCGCAAGTGCAGCTTCATGGAACTCCATTTCATCCTGTCACACATCAAAATTATTGATGAGAAATATTTATGTCATAGATATAAAAATCAACACAAATACAAATAGCCAGATACCTTAATTGTATGTATTACCACTTTTTTGTCATTTCAATAGGAAAATTATTGCAATTCCCAAGTATAACATACCTTGCATGTTTTGAAAATGCCTGAAGAATCCTCCTTGAGGTAAATCGGCAGGCCAGCCAGGGCTGCTGTTCTTGTTGTGCAGATGTCATTCTTGTCCTTAAAGGACAAAAAATATATAAAACATGACAAATGGGACTACCATGCAAACAGTAGAGTGAAAGTATTTTTAAGTACCTGTTGCTCATATTCCAACAACAGCTGGTCCATGTTTTCACCAACCCGTCCAGTTTTCTTCTTTTTGTAAAGTCCAATCAGCCGAGGAGCATATTCATCCAGTGCAGCATAAAAAACATGTGGTAGATGAAGATTGGTAATCCGGTGAAATTCACAGTAGAGCTGAAGAGAATAAACCAAAAATGATATGAAAAAAAATGCTGTATACTTTATAAGCAGTAAATTTAATATAGTTGTACTTACCTGTGTCTCATTAAAGAGAGCTGGCCATCTGTCCTTAAGCTCTGATACAGGAAGAGAAGATGTAATGATCTCTTCACGTCTCAGGGAAAAAGTGCGCATCATGTGCTGATGAATGAGTGGAATGTCCCTTTCAGCAGAGGTCTTCCGGAACTCTTCTATCATCAACCCTCCTTTTCTCCAGAGACTCTCTTGTTTCTCCAGAAGGACAACTGGGAAGGAAGTTGACCTCACCTCTCTTAGGTCTTTTAATATTGGCTCTTGGTGCAGCTCCTTCTGGGTTTGTTCTGCTGCGTTTTCCAGAGTTTACAGCAACATCTCTGATGCCGGCTTTGGCCAACTTCTTTCTTTGGTTTCCTATTTTGTGTCTCAAACTATTCTTCCATCCTTCCCAACCAGTGTCAGAATTGTTCTCCTTCAGACAGGGATGCTTTTCAACTAAAGCCTTTGCAGCCTTTCCAATCTGTGTGCTACTAGGATATGCCTTCAGTTTAAAAATTTTCTTCCCCCATTACCTCGAGTATGTTGTGTTTTTGATCTCTAGGAAGTCTAATTAGTTTCCCATCTTTTTCAAATGCTGCATTACCTTCCTTTAGCACATGTTCCACCTCATAAGAAAATTTTGGAACAATAAAAACCTCTGGCCACCGACTAATACGCTCTGGTGAATCTATGGCATCAGTGCTATCGTTCAGAAGACTTGTCTCACTAGTGCTGGTTGAAATCAAGTCCAGCTCCACTAATCTGATTATTTTAACCGATGCTGTGCTTGGGAGGTGTTCCATTTCAACCAAATTACACAATGCATGATCAAAATCTGGATCTTCAAACTGAAGCCTAAAGTCAAAAGTCAACTTTAGCCTAGTTTTGATTTCATCTATGAGGGCCTGTACACTGCTTGGGCGAGATGGCAGAATAAGTCTTTCAGCATTATCATTATCAAGGATGACCCTTAGCTTCAGTCTCTCTGTTGCCTCCATCTGAAGTTGTAGGTCCTGTAACATACAGGATTCAAATAATATAGCGACATTTCAACACACTCAGAGTTCTCATGCCATGTATGCATTACCTGTACACTGGCAGAAGGGCTGGGGAGATCCGCTGATATTTCAGTTCTGTTTCTTTAGTCAGACACTGGAATGAAATGTTTTGTTGTTAGAATTAGTTCATTTGCAATCTTATAAGAAAAATGTGGCAGGTGGTCAGACAGCTGGCACACAGATTTGACACTATGACTCTCCGGTATATGCTCGACTAGTTCGTATGACCTCAAGTGCTCAACATACAAAGTGTCGTAGTCTTTTAAGAGAAAATGCATTTTGTAGCTGATGAGTAGGATGTTTCGAATCTCTTTGAACTCTGGCAAGGCTGCATAAGCACCAGTACATACAAACATGCCAATTGCAAAGCTTGTGCCATCAATTGAGATATTTTTTGTTCCATAAACTGTGTCACTGTCAACAATACCTGAGATAAATGATTGTGTATCTGCAGGTAGTGATGAGATGTACATAGACTCCATTTTGGATGTCTGAACATGTGGTTTGAAAAACTTTGAGGATGACAAATAAAATGCCATCTGACTTTGATGTCGCTCTGCCAAAGTTTTTAACACATTTTTGTAGTTGTGAGTGTCATGAATAATTTTTTTGAAAACCTTATGCTTTCCCTCAAATCTCATTGTCCAAAGGTGGACCAAGGGACCAAAGCATTTTATCAAGTGTGGGTAATGCTCGATGTAATGATGCTTTGGCCTTAATCGAACATTAGGAAACACTTCTTGGAAGAGTTGCCGGTGGTCCAATATTTTACGAGCCAAGTACTGAATGGTCTCTTCATTAAAAATCTGAGACATGGCAAGCTGAACGACATCCTTTAACTCCATTAGCACTTCCCAAAACGTGTCTCTTTCTGGGACTTTTGAGCCAATGAGAAGAGGCAACATTATAAGCAGGGCATGATTTTCATGAGCATTCCCACCAATGGTCCCTCGACTGGCAAAATTAGTGGGTATTGGATGAGGGCGATCAACTTTGTCAGAATGTTGATATGGAAAGTGCAATATTGCTCGATTTAAGTCTTCTAATGTAAAATATTTACTGGAAATCAAACCTTTTAAGCAATGAGCTATCTCCACTGGAACAACGCCTTCAAACAGGTCGTGCAGGAGGTCAGGTGGGAAGCCTGTGACAGGATGGAAGAATGACAGATGGTCAGAAAGAACACAACTGTTTTTGACACCACAATTTCCCTCACTGCCATCGCTCTGAAGCTCTCGTAAAAGATTGTCATGAAGATCCTTTGTTCTCAGCACATAATCCCCTGTAACTGCATTTTTTGTCTGCATTTCTATTTGTGTGGCATGACAAAACCTGCAGAAATGTGTAGACCTGAAGCTCTCATTGAACCCAGCAAGCCCATGTGCGGCAAGGTTATCTGCCACAACACAGTAGACAGTGCCTTTAAGACATTCACCAAGGGTATCAATGTAGATGCCTACTTCTTCAAGAGTTTTCAGATCATTTAAGAGTGGTGACATCATTTTCATAAAACCAAACAGGCGCACATCATTAGAGTTGCACAGGAGAGCAAGCTGAGTGCAGTGGAGAGCAGAACGGGATTTAACTGGAAAGTTTGCCAGTGTCCAATAAACTGCAAAAACTTTATGTATTTTCTTTGAAGTACCGAGTGGGTTTGCAATTTCAAAATCATCCACATAAAGCATTATTGAAAGTTTTGTTCCCTCTTGTGAGAGTAGAACATTTTCCTGGTAGTAGGATCCATCACAAAATGACATGAAATGTCCAGGTATCTGAGTGGGTGTTTGTTGAACTTTTTCAAGGACTTCGGTTTTTTTCAACAACATTTGCAAAGATGTAAGAATTGACACATACATGTATGTGTGCTTTGATGATTCAATTAAATACTCCACAGGCTTGACATACGGAAAGTTTGCTTCATAGTAAGATTTTCTCATCTTTGCTGTTGACAGTGGTCCACCAGATGTGATACATTTATGTAAAACATTACTATCAGAAACTGCCTGACAAATGTCATCGACCAGTTTGTCAGTATATAGACAGTTATGCTTCTTCAGTATATCAACTACTGATGTTTTAATGAGAGGTTCTGTTAACAAAAACAGGTGATCAATGTGCTCAATGATAGGGCTGTAGCGAAGCCTCGACGAAGTCGACGGCTCGATTCTAAAAATTTGTCGACGTCAGATCCGGAAGTCGACGCACCGCGCCCACTTGTTGCATCCCCAGGAGTTTGTAAATAGAGGAGGAATCTGCCCGTTTTTCCTCTAGTTCGCCCTCTTCTCCGCCTTCACTAACATCTCCGCCAAATACCGAAGACCCGGAACAACGTCCGTCCACTACTAGATTATTTTCCTGTTTTGCCCCTTCGTCTCCCGGCAACGGACAACAACTTCCGGGGTCAGATGCGCTGCTTCGTGTCTATCGCAGATGTAGAAAATCACCGGGAGCGCTTCTCCCGCCATTAAGGAGCTTCTTTCAGACATGAGGAGAGCTGTTTTGGTGGTAGCAGTCTCTCCTCCGTGCTGGTCTGTTTGCTGCTGGGTGTTTTTGGTTTATTTAAACTTGGTAACTTGAACTTAACGTTGGTAAAGCTACTGTTAGCATCTTCGCTAACAGCTTCTTGCGTTGGGATAAGCTGTTACGTTTTGGTTTAGAGTTCATCTTTTTTGTGGTGTAGATCTCCCTTTTATTACATTTAGAGTGTTGTGGGTTTTCGGTTTAGTGTAAAATATCACCTGAGTTTGGTTTAACCCGTAAGACCACTCGCCTCACGCACATAAGTGACCAAAACAAAGCAGCATGGAGACACTCCATCTTCTACCACCTCTCAGGCAGCAGCCTGCACTCCCAAGTTCTACACGTCACCAGAACATAACCATCCGCAACACAATAAAAGCAGTGTTATACAAAATGGAAGGCCTGTAGTGTTTATTCTCTTACAGTAAGAATTTATCAATTTTTTTGAGGAATTTATTTGAGATTTTCTGGTTTTTGTTAATTGTGCAATAGAAAAATAATCATTAGATTAATTTTCTAAATAGTCATTAGAATAGTCGACTATTCGATAAAATAATCGTCAGAATAATCGTTTTAAAAATAATCGTTTACCCCCAGCCCTACTCAATGATCTCCTGTGTTGCTCTCTGGGACACATGGAGAATGCTCTGCATTTTCAAGAAAAAGCCAGCTAGATTGTGCTGCAACTGCTCTTCTAAACCGTCAGTTGTACTCATTTCACTAGTGGATGCCACTTCACTTTCATCTAATGGTTCTACTGAATCAAGCTGCATAACATCCTTTTGGCCTACATTTAGGACACTTTGCACAATGCCTTCATCATAATGTGCTGAACTTTGGTGTTCTCGGCATTTGTGCACATTGAATGTTGAGTATACATTGGTTTTAAAATTGCAGTCCTTGAAAGGACATGGAACAATTTCTTTCAGTTTTAAATGCCCCCTCAGATGGATAAACATTTGCCTTTCAATAAATGGCTGCTTAAAGTTACACACAGGGCAGCAAAATCCATAATTATTAAAAGCTGGATTTGAATGGTCTTATTTGTGTAGCAGTATGTATTCTTGACATATGTACCTTTAATGAATTAAATGTACTAAATGTACACATGCAGGTGGTGTAGAGACAGGGTAAAGGTGAAATTGTGGAGTACTGGCCATGGTTAAGCCGGTAATGTTTCAGCAACATGACTTTTATCGCAGTAGAAAAACTACACAACTTGCAATTCCACATTTTGTCATAAATCAAAGGGTCCCCAATAAGATGTCAAGTGTTTTATATCACCTTCACTGGCCGTTTTAAGGTGTTTTATATCACCTTCACTGGCCGTTTTTAGGTGTTTTATAACACCTTCACTGGCCGTTTTTAGGTGTTTTATAACACCTTCACTGGCCGTTTTTAGGTGTTTTATAACACCTTCACTGGCCGTTTTTAGGAGTTATATATTTTACCTTCCTTAATCCAGTTTAATTCTTCTCCTCCTTCTCCTTCATGATATTATAATTCCTAACATGTTTACCAAATAGATTAAGATTTTTTTAAAGCTTCATTAAGACAAGGAGGCTAAAATATTCTATTCCTAATGGCTAAAATGAAAACAACATGCAGTTACAACATACAGCCACAGGAGGGCAGCATCTTCTTATCTTTCCCTTAATTGCTTGATGCCGATTTAAAGATAGTACTGTTCTGTTTATCGCCAGCAGAGGGCGCATATTTCCCATCCTTTCAAGGAAACAAAATGGTGTTTGGAAGAAATTAGCTAAAATCTTTTTACTAAGGAAGTCTTTAACCTTTATTAATCCAGATTCATCTTCTCCTTTAAATCTTCCTCTTTTTCCTCCACAATATTCATATTCCAAAAGGTTTAAAAGAAAGATAAAGATTTTTTAAAAGCTTCATTAAGACAAGGAGGCTAAAATATTCTATTCTTAATGGCTGAAATGAAAACAACATGCAGTTACAACATACAGCCACAGGAGGGCAGCATTTTCTTATCTTTCCCTTAACACTAGAAGTCCCAAGAATTTCAACATCCCCCCTGAAGTCCTGAAGCAGGGTCAAAAGACCCTTAGTCCACACGGATGACTCTGATAGCTCCAATTAGCATCCCTTCATTTGTAAATGTGGCCCTTGCCAGAGGAATCAGCAGGGGGGAGGAGAGATGAATTCACACAAAAGTCACATGATGTTGTGCCGCATTATCCAGGTCATTTTGCCAAATGTGAGGGGACTAGAAACATGAGACATGAAAACATGAGAGAAGTTTTCACTGTTTTGGTAGAGATATGGCATTTTGCTGCTGTTCCATGGTGCTTCGCTAAACCATATGGAGGATTTTGCCAAATACACCTTGAATTTTGAGAATGTCATCTCAGTTTCGAGAAATGAGCCAAACTAATTGAAAAAAAAACTGTAAATCAACTTAAACTTGTTCAAAAGTTGGGGATAAGTTGGTTCAAAATGACTGAGTGTAAGCTGCTCCTGAGAGTGTCTGCCCATCCCCCAGCTGCATTTTTTGCAGGGCCATCCTGAGCAACAGCTACAGAAATTTGCATGCAGTCTTTAGTGCTGTGGAGGATAAATAGGTGACTGCTTCACCTATTTTGTTGACAAGAAACAAAATGCAAAGGAGGCTAACCACTCAACAGGCATTGGAACTGATCGTGAGCAAGGCCAACCCTTGTGACTCAGATGGAGAAGACAACCAGATTCGGACTCTGAGCTGTCTTCAGGTTAGATTTCTCAAACTACCTATTTTCATTTCTTGCCTATCTCTTTTTATTTAGAACCAAACAAAAAGTTAATTTAAAATTGTTTATCTTGCAGATGAGGAGACGACTCTATCAAAAAAGAGAGCTCGGTTTGGAGTGAGCTGACAGAGACCTCAAAATATGGCACAGTGTGGTGTAAAAAACAAGTGGGGACATGTCTCCATATTACTCCAATAGAACCTTACGCCACAGCAGGAGAGCCAATAGCTGAGGCCATTGTGGATGTGATGGACCAAATGGTGCGGGAGTCCAGCGTGCGTGCAGGAACACAGAGATGGCCAGTCGCCGTGTTCTACAACATGATTGACATGGCAGCACTGAATGCACATGTGCTTTATCAGGCATGCATTGAGGTGCAGGAGAGACGGGTGAACTTCCTGGTTGAGCTTGCAAATGAGTTGGGTGACGGTCATGTGAGTGAGAAGAAGGCACGCAAGGAGAAACTGCTTCAGCTAAAACCTTCCACACCCAGCCCTGGCAAAAGGGCAAAGTGTCAGGTCAACCATCGTTGCACAAACAATTGTGCAACTTTGAGAAGTGTTGACTGCTACAAATATACATGTGGCAAATGTACCAGAGTCATACCCTGGCAGTGCCAGGTATGTTCCGACAGTGCAGACTGATGCACTCACTCACTCACTCAAACGCACGCGCGCGCGCGCGCACACACACACACACACACACACACACACACACACACACACACACACACACACACACACACACATGCAGCACCCCACTGCAGCTTAGTGTAAATATGTGTGAAATTGATTTATTCCTTGTACTTTTTGGATCATTTTTATGACAAAAATAAAAAGCATGGAAACTAATAACAGTTGTTCTTTTGTATATTTCTCATGCTGAAATTTAAGTCCTCTTGACTTGGACACAAACGCTTCTGGTCTTTGCTCACAGCTGGACCTGGAAAACCTTATTTACAAAACAAAAGTGGCTGTTCACAACTCATTATACAGTGTTAGCTAAAATCCTTCGGGTCACTCGACCCATCTCTGGGTTCCAAAGGTAGAAATGTTAAATGACCCTTCTCTGGGACTTCTAGTGCTAAATCCCTCTGCCAAGCATGCCTTAAGCCATCATAATTTCCATATAATACTTTAGCTGCCATCTTATAAAACATAGATGCTGACTGATACTTTTCTGCCAATTTTAAATAAGAGCTGTACAACATTGTCCTCTTCAGGCAGCTCCTTAACCAAACTGTCCAAGCTACTTCTTATTTGAAAATATCTCCATAAATTACCTATATTATCCACGTTAAATTGTAGCCTCAAGTCCTGATAAGATTTCACTGTTCTATTGTCAATTAGATCCTCTAATTTTCTCATGCCCCCACGTATTCCACCCTTATTGCTGGGTTATTGTCACGTTCTGCCCCTGCCCTCCTGACTGTGTTCCTCTCCTGCCTTGATTACCCTTATTGTTCTCACCTGTCCGTCGTTAACCTGCCCATGTTTCCCTAATTAGCCCTCTGTATTTATACCACCTGTTTTGCCCCTGTCCTTGGTCAGATCATTGTTGTTGTTTGTTGGTGTTGTTCCTGTTCATCCCATCCCTACTAACACAGAAAGTCGCCACAACGTCGCATTTTGCGACGTTTCGTTTGTGACGTAGTGACAACGTAGCTGCTACGTTTAGGTTACTACGTTCCACAGGGGACGTTGTTGGTACATTGCTGAAACGTCACACTACAACGTCCTCCAAAAGTCACTTTACAACCTCTGTTAAATGTCCTCTCTGTAACTTATTTGGCACTTTGAATAACAACGTTGCTGCTACGTTGTTACAACGTGATAACTGTAGTTCCAGAATAAATAAAATTTGAGAGATTTTATCATCAAATTAGATTTTCAGCTTATCCATGAAAAATAACACACAAAGATATTTAAGATATTTAATCTTTTGACAATAATTAAATAAACAATTAGTAGTTGCAGTACTTGAATCATGTTTATAGCTAAAATGTCTTTCTAATTTAAAAAAATTGGACTTTATATTTTATGGAAAAAAAATTCTAAACTTTGTTTACTGAAAAACTCATTTTTGCTGTTTACAAATGTTACTTTCTAAAATCCACCAGCAAGGAAATGTAGGCTAATTTACATGTTACTTGCCTCACAGCATTCCAATGGAATGGCTTGTTGCAACAACCCTGTTCCAGCCAGTTCTCTGATTTGTTATGGTCATCACATGTTCCAGACCATCTTCCAATCAGCTTAATCTGCCTCTTTTTTTGTTCTTATTTCATCCCTTGTTTTTTTCCACAAGATTTCCAGTTAGTTGCTCTTTGCTATTTGGCTACTTCGGATTTATTTGTCAACCACTCACTCCTTAGTTCGCTTGCTTCAGGTAAGAAAAAGTTTTATCATGTGCTTGTTAGTTCTAAATTTGGTTTACAAAAGGCAATAGCATGTATCTGCCCTCAAACAATAGCTACCGCATGGTAGCTTACCTACTGCAGTTTATTCGGTCTGTTCAAGTAAAATCAAACAAACTAACTGGACTTTTCGCTTGAATTAGAATAATATCAATCTAATTTCAAGCAAGATGACTCTGTAACTATTCTATTGCTATAACTACAACCAGTGTATTTGTAGAGTTAGCAGTCCAGCTACAGTTAGCCACTAGGTAGCCCCATTGCTAAGCGGTCATTACACATGTTCTCACATGTCTGCTCGATCAGTAAACCTCTGGGCTAATGTTCTGCCCTAAACGTTTTGCGGCTCAGTGGTTTTTAATAATTAGGTAATGTTTATTGGTGTTTAAGCAAGCCTTTTCACTGTGTCTGTCGACTTTATTGAGATCTTGTGTAGAGAGACGGCCATGTTTAGCTAAACATGAATGGAGCGTTAGAAATTTGTGTTTGGGGCAGGGGGCGTGATGGACTTTTAGCCATTTGAGCAAGGATGTATCTAAAATATCCCAAGGACTGGACTTGGGCAACCCAGTCTTCCAAACTAGCAAAAGAATAAAGAATCAAATTGTTTAGTTAGCTAGTATTAAACATTGTAACACAAAGTATTGCTTTAGTTTGAGATGTGTAGTCAAAAGCTAAATTTTCATAAACAATGGGTGAGTTTGTTGTGTTTTGAACATGCAGTTTATGCAGAAATTCCTGTGGCTATGTCTGTGTAAACTTGGTTGGAAACTAATCTCTTTTCCAAAATCTTAGGTGCATTATTGTTACTGGACAGCAAACAAAACCACATTCAGGAACCTAAATGTGGAACATCCATCTCCTGATTGGACTCGACATAGAGTAAGGCTATTTCAGCGCCAAACAGGTACTGCAACTACTACTTGGCCATCAAATTTAAATGGTTTCCTTCTAATCTTTTCATATGAACTTGACTGTTATGCTTATTAAGAGGAATATGAAGAAGCCAAGCGTCTTGCCAGGCAGTAGCTGGAAGATTCCCAAGCCGAGAGTGAGAGAGAGGTGACCAAACGAAAGGTTAAGAACAATAAGCGGTACCTGTCCAGCTCTGATGATGAAGCAGGTAATGTTTCTGTCATAAAAATGTTGTATATTCTTTTTAATAATATGAAATAGCAACAAAAAAAAAACATCTGTCTGCTTTCAGGTCC